CCCGAAACACACGTGATAGTTGTCATGCGGTGAATCTGGCCAATCGTGAAATGGCTGTGTCGTCATCAGCGCTCCTGCAGTCGCTCTGAAAAAGCTGCGCCAGCTGAGTCAGCCGGCTGCTCTTGAAACGCTATCGCGGTACTTTGATGCTACACGTGACAGTGACGTGGCGTCGGCGCCGGTTCAAGTCGGACAAAATTTCTAACCGGCATGCACTGCTTCAAGTCAGCCGCCGATGGGTTTGCGCGGCGCCGCATGAAGTCGAACGCACCTATAGTATGCCTGAGTTACAGCAACATCCTGTTTCATTGCGAAACATTAAAATTTGTCAGGCTGCCAGGGACACGCCCTTCAACGAAAACTCAAGATCTTCGCTATTTAGCATCGCAAAGGCCTCACCACCAAATTTGAAAATGTTTGGATTAAAACTGTAGGAAATGGCAAAAAAATAGTCGAGGAAATTCAAAATGGCTGACTTCCTGTTGCGTTTAGACTTTGCTCCAAGATACTTTTTTGTAGGTATTGGGACATTACATGCATGTAGCAAATTTCACGTAGGTGAAACACAGCGGGAGGGGCGCTTCGTTGAAATTTTATAGGTGTTGCTGTCGAGCCATTTTGCCACACCCAATTCTGAAACCCATATCAGATTTCATATTTTCACCAGTTTTGTGAGTTTTGGTGCATGTTTAGGCCCTCAAAAATGCGATTCACTTTGAAGAAGAAGAATAGGGTGCACAGGCCCTAAAAATAAGAATTGTCCATTTTGATTTCATGTTGACTTTAAAGACTAACAGGCATGGTCACCATGATCTATGGTTGTATGAACAACTATGAGAGGATTAAGCTTCTTTTGCGTTTCATATGGGGGAAAAATATTTTGGATTTGGAACAATTTGGGATGAGTAAATAACTACAGAAACAAAATACACCATATATATATTCCAACACAATGAAGAAGAACCCAAGACCATTGCACAGTAAACATACCTTAATAAAAAAAGAATTATTAATAAGAATTATTATTTTTTGTATTTAAAAAAAAAATGCTAGTTAGACCCCTGTCTGTGAAAAATGGGGATGCGAATCGTAAGCAACTTTGGGATTCTGATTCTGATTCTACTTCTACATTACGTTTCCTTTACTACTTATGAGGAAGAAATATTTGTAAAAATACTTCCCAACAGTCTGTTGTCAATTCTTGAGATCATTTCTGGTTAAGCAACAAATATAGGACCTAACAAATCAGAGATACTATTTATGAAATTCTTGTAAAAGGTGTGTTTACACAGACTGTTTAAATGTATAGTTGACCCAAAAATGAAAATTACCCCATGATTTTATATATAAATGTCCTGGCTCTTCCCAGCTTTATAATGGCATTGAATGGTGATCAAGATTTTGAAGCAAAATAAAGTGCATCCATCCATCATAAAAATTGCTACACGTGGAATTGATGCGTTTGTGTAAGAAAAAAATCCATATTTAAAACTTTATAAACCGTAATCTCTAGCTTCCACTAACTGTTGTAAGCGCGTTCACGAGACAGTGGCGTCCCAGCAGATGACGTAGGTGTAGTGTAAACTCCGGTGAGAATATGCTAGTCTCGCGAGAACTCCTTTTGGCTTATATTGAAATCCTCCGACATTTTTCTTTACAAATCCTCATTTTGTACTACTAATTCTGTGACCGGTGTTTTGTTTTGCTCTCTCCTCTGCGCTTCTGCATTCGTCTCCTCACCGGAGCTTAGGCTACGCCTACGTCATACACTGGGACGCCGCTGTCTCGTGAACGCGCATACGACAGTTAGCGGAAGCTAGAGATTATGGTTTATAAAGTTTTAAATATGGATATTTTTCTTACACAAACACATCGCTTCACTTCAGGAGAACTTTATTATCCCCCGGTGTTGTGTGGAGCACATTTCATGATGGATGGACGCACTTTATTTTGCTTCAAAATCTTGACCACCATTTAAGTGAGTAAATCATGGGGTAATTTTCATTTTTGGGTGAACTATCCCTTTAATGGCATTCCACAGACTTTTAGAGGTGGCATATATATTTAATCAGTAGTTGGCCATAATTATATAAACTTACATAGATACCAAAGTGCAGTAAACTAAAACTATATTGCGCTACAAATCTCCACCAATCAGAGAATCGCGACAAGCAAGTTTGAAGTAACATCAGCTTACTACAGCCTTTGTTGATCAGAATGCCAAATTTTACAAAATGGGATTACAAATGCATAACCATTTTTATGATTTTTTTCATAAAATATATGTGAATAATTATGCGTCACTTACTGAATTAAATTAAATATTGAGGAGATCATGTAATGAAGAATGCACGTCCAAGAACCATTAATGGAACTGAACATCACAGGAAAAATTTGGGTCCAATATTTAAAAGAA